TTTGTTGTATTCTTTAGGAGATCTGGTGTTTACAGATGAAGTGGAATGCTTACGGAAAGAAGTCAACAGCTTGCAAAACCAAGGGATTAACAAGATAATTGCTTTGGGACATGCTGGGTTTGGCAAAGACAAGGAAATCGCTCAAAAAGTGGCAGGTGTGGATGTGGTAGTTGGAGGCCATACAAACACGTTTCTATACTCTGGTAAGTTAGAGGTTCTAATCTCCGTCAAGTATGATAAGTTACGGACGTACCAACACTTTTACCAACGAATAGTGGGATTGACCGTCACATTATAACGCCCCCACGGCTGAAAGGGCGAGCATGTTTGGTGTGACGGGGATTCGAACCAGCGACCCTCAGATTGCGAGTCGAGTGCCTTAACCACCTGGCCATGCCGGGCCCGACTCTATAGAGACAACAGCATGAATATCTGAGGCGACGGCATTTTGGACTGAAATCCTGGCGATTCTGATCAGCAAAGACAATCCTGGCGATCCTGATCAGCAAAGACTGAACAAATAAAATCAGTATCGATTGTGACTACTGCTACAGACCCTTAACATGTGAATACATATATTTAATGGCAATTTAATTTCAAAACGATAGGTTACAGTTTTATAAACACACTAAAAGGCGGTATTTAATTATAAAAAATCAATAAATAATGTAATATGTCTTAGTTTAACAGTACCTCACCATCATTGAAGCTGCTATTTCGTTTGATCATCATGTGATCGTAATGTTTTCATGTCATAAGACTATGCCCTTATTGGCTGATGGGTATACTACAAAGTCAGATTAACTTAGTACCGTGTATGCCGGTTTACTTTTCCATGTTTGTGAAGGAGGGGAGAAATTGATGGAGAGGAGGGGGCGGATACCAATCCTTTCAGGGTCCCATGAAAACTCTCGGCGGCCCTGCTCCCAACTATCACAACTGCTCATGACGGAGATTAGAACCTATACCTATCCAGAATAAAGATGCATCTGATGCTCAGAGATCTTTCACCAATGTGACATTTTTTCTTTTACCTTATCAAACGTCAAATTACGTAGAATATAATGATCATTAAAGACAGGTTTGTCACATGAAAATTGGTTGACTGTTCTGTTTTTTTTTCCTCCTGTTTTTCGTTATGAAAAATGAACAACAAAACATTCTGGGAAATGAAATAAACACAAAAAGAAATTCAAGAAACCAACGCGTCATATTAATAATAAACATTTGTACAAAAGTTTGTTAAAGCTACTACAGATTTATACATTTGTAGTATAATACATTATTCTAAGATGTAGTGTACTACACTTGGGTATACACGGTACCACAACTGCCTGCAATGAAGAATCCTATTCAATGTTTCATAGACGAATCAACCAATGTTTTTAGAAAAGCGCTTACGTCACGTGTTTTTAAGTGCAGCTTTTCTTCGTTTGTGTACATTAGATTTTTCGTACAAGTTTGATCATCGTGTTTCTGCAAAGATGAGGACTTTAATTCTTATATATTTTTTCCTCGTAAGCACTTGTTTTACAATTCGCTTATTACGGTACCTATTCGTAACATGCACAACACTAGTAAGGTTCTAGTTTTATTACTTTTATTTTGTTCCTAATCGAATCTTTACTGTAGAAATCACAGAATATTTTTAGACTCTATAGAGTTTGTTTTTATTGTTCGTTTTTAATTTCGCGCAAAGCTACACTAGGGCTATCTGCGCTAGCCGTCCCTAATTTAGCAGTGTAAGACTAGAGGGAAGGCAGCTAGTCATCACCACCCACCGCCAACTCTTGGGCTACTCGGACGTAACTTTATTCATGAATGTTTTATGGAAAACCGACCAAGACACTGTGTTGTAAACATGTCAAACTTTTGTATAATTAAACAAATTTATTTTAACCGCTAAATTAATTTATATTTTTATCAGTTGTAGGGCTCAGGTAAGGTCAACAACACATACACTAAATTAATTAATTGCGTGAGTTAAAAACCCACTTTCCCGGTCTTCTGTCTGGTAAAATTCATAGTGAGAGCTAAGATTACAGAACATTATCATTGAACATTACACGCATGCTCATTGGGCCTGTAGGACAATATCCGCATACCTAAAGTGTATAACAGGATATTATCCCTATGGTTAAAAGGTTTATAAACATTATCTAGTTTTGTTTTTTTTATAAAGAATAACAACTTTCAGAAACCACGGTTGCTTTATTCAAAATGTACTTTATTTTTCCTTGAAAAATGTATACACTTTTTACTGTATATAATTGTTCAATAAAAATATAAGCATGGGGATAATGTACTATTATGCTCTTTGGGCATGAGGATATTGTCCTTGAGGGTTAATGTCCATGGGGAAGTATCCCCCTTCCAGATCTGTCAGCTTCTACTTGCTAAATGCTAGTTCCTCTTCTATGACAGTGACTAAGATTGTGTAGAAATAGTGAAAGGATACACAACCGATGCTGAATGAGATTAAGTTAGTTTTGTTGTTGCTTGTCTGTTGTTTAATGATCGTTACACATTGACCAGACATGTGTATATATATAACCTTCCCCAGGGCTCCATTCGAGTCCGTGAGTGCCGGGGAAATTTCTCTTGTCTACTCGCCCTCCCGGTGGGCGTTATTGAGAGTCGTAAAAACACACTTCTTTATTACGGTTAATTATAACCCTTACTTTCTGTCATGAATGGATGTGGTAGTTGTAGGTCATACGAACACACTTCTTTATTACGGTTAGTTATAACCTTTACTTTCTGTCATGAATGGATGTGGTAGTTGTAGGTCATACGAACACACTTCTTATTACGGTTAGTTATAACCTTTACTCTCTGACATGAATGGATGTGGTAGCGAACACACTTCTTTATTACGGTTAGTTATAACCTTTACTTTCTGTCATGAATGGATGTGGTAGTTGTAGGTCATACGAACACACTTCTTTATTACGGTTAGTTATAATATGACCTACAACTACCACATCCATTCATGACAGAAAGTAAAGGTGTAAATATTTAATTATTTAGAGCCGAACTGAAGGGTTTTACTGTTCAGACTGAACGCAACTTACAGCCTGATTCAAAATAGTTGTTTATCATTATTCAATAAACAAGCGTCTCTATTGTTGAAGGAAGAACACGATCTGCTCGATGTTATCTTTACACAGTCATAATTCTTACTGTAGACCGTTTAGAATGGTTAATGTTAAAAATTCTTTTGGCCCGAGCGTGACCTAGAGGTTAACGTATCATGCTAGGGGTCGGAGGGTCTTGGGTTCGAGACGTAATTTGCAATTACAGCTGTGGATGTTGTGTAAAAGTTAAGAGTAGACACTGCAGGCGGAGGGTGCTATGGACTGTTTGCCTTTCCTCTGATACACAGTTCACAAATTTGGACATGTATGCTTGACATCATTGTGTGCAAAAGGTAAATAAACAATCAAGTGAAATTTATTTTGAAGTTAAACTATTTACATTTTAAATATTATCATTAAAGTTAATAATGATAATATTTAATATCTGAATACTATAGCAGATTTATAGGATCTTGACGCACTAGTTTTTTTTACGGTTGAGTTTTAATAGCTGGAAAGTTTCAGGTGGTAAAAAAGAAAAATCTTTTGTGAAAAACAAAAATGCCCGGATGAAATTCGTTCTGTGCTGTAGGACTGAAAACATTTTTGTGTCCGATGGATTGTACATTTCAAGGCAGGAAATATAGGAAGTAGGAGATTTCAAGATTCTCTTTGATAACATCCACTCGTGACAGAGAGTAAAGGTTATAACTAACAGTAATAAAAAAGTGTGTTTGTTTCTCACTATACCGATGATGATATGTCCGCATATCACACAGTGACAAAAACCACTGTAATGACACTTTAATATTTCTCTTTAAAGAAAGCAATGTAGATAGGAGAAAACAGCATAAATTTGATTATTTCATGTAGAGTAAAGATGATTGCTCATGGAAATATTTTAACAATACACTATTTTTCTAGAAAGTCATAGACCGTAACTTGATGGAAGTATAAATTTAAAAAGTTGGATTTCATAAGTTGCTTGAAAGCATGCTAATTTATATATATACTTACATCATTATAATTTATTCCCAAAAGTACAACACTTTTCTTAATATTACAAAAGTTACCGGATGTATTCCATCAAAATTAGTGGCACTATCTCAGTAGCAGAGATTAAAGTTTAAATATAAAATATGTCCAATATCAAGAAATTTCAAAACCTTATCTTAGCGACGATACACAGTTTTGATATTCAGTTCAAAGTGTTGTGAAACTGATACAAAGAAACATAAATAGGTCAATATGGCTTAATAGTGAAATTTTAGAAATGTTTGTCAAAATAATGTACTGTGAGGCACGTGCACAGAAAGAGTAATTCGCCCCTCTATTTTGCTTAATCGGGGACAGTTTCAAAGATGATTTTCTTTCGGAGACACTGCTCTAAAACTGGACACTGATCCCAAAATTCGATATATTCTGGTCACTTTATGTTATTGATATTATTTTATCATGTTTTTTATAGCATCGCGTGATTTAGAATGTAGAATATAATTAGATACAACCAAGAGATGGCGCTACGAATGTTGAAAGGCTGAGAGTTTTTACAGTTTTTTTATATGTAAAACAAATATAGTTTTAAAGTAAGAATGTATGGTAAGGCACAATTGCATCTAATGTGTTTATCACTAACCTCCTTCTCTGTTAATTATGCTTAACCTACCTTCTTCTACTTCATTATCAAGAAGAATGGGGTTCCCATTCCACGACATCACACGACCTTTATTATCGAAGCCCACCTGAAGGTACCCGAGGTACTTTCCGAATGCATAATCTTGAACGACTAAAGCCTTATTACCACTCAGGTTTTCCACTACTACCGGGTAGGTGTCTTCTGCTTCTTCTGACGAGGGTGGATTACCTATGATGTATTGAATATATTACTTGGATAGATCTATAACTATTCAAAAGTTAGAGGTTAAGAATAGCTATGAATTGCAATATATTTTAAATATACCATGTATAATTATATATGCAGGATGTCATTACCAGCTTGACACCATATAGGATATTAGATATCCGTGTTTGATGTAAAGATAGAAAATGAATTAAATTATTCGATAAAGATGATTTCACCTAAATATTAGGAATTTTCAGAGAGGTAGTTTGTATTTATTGTCGTAAATATTTCTCTCTGTCATGATATAAAAGATTGTTTAGTGTAGGTAGTATTAATTATTTTGTGAGTTAATATTTTATGATTGTTTAGTTTTTCATAATAAGAGAGTTAAAAGCAGATAATTGTCAGAAGTTGTGTTTATAATTCATTGATGTTGAGGCTATCGAACGTCGCGTGAAATTTATTGATGTCCAGGATATAGAAATTTCTAGAAGGCAAGCAGACGATTAAGTGATAAATATATAAATAGTATGAGATGAGCGGGAACAGCATACAGAGAGAGCAGACGAGAAAGTAAAGTCAAGGGAAGTAGAAGTTCGTCCAAAGAAAAGTTAAACGTAAAGTTAAATGCCGTAGGAGTGAAAGGCATAACGGTTAATATAGGCTTAACGATTAATATGTTAGAGGAAAACTAATAGTTTCAAAAAAGATAACAACTGTAGTTTATTCCATCAAATCGAGTCCTAAAGTAATTGAACTAGCCTGAGTTCACTTTGACAAAAGAAACAGACGATATCTGAAGTACGAGGACCAGACGATTACCGGAAGAGAAGTATACGAATGTGGTAGCTCACGCTATAATTGTAAGTGAACAAAACACAGAATACTAGTGCGAAAGAAATAGAGAAAGGTAGTTCGACTTGTCAACTGAAATTCTAAAGCAACTGAATAGGTCTAAGTGGACTTTTGACAACAAGAAGAGAACTATATACTGTTTATGATATGTCTATGATCCCTATAGTGTAACTAATTTGTTGTACTTACCTTTAACTAGTTCGAATATATATATATTATTTTGAAAACAAGTGGATTACGTGCTGTTCGTTTATTTTTGAATTTACCCCACCAAGTCACAGACACCTACTGTAAAAGAATCCTCAGCCCAACACCCATATTATTCAATCTACTTACTAAATACTACTACTACATATAGTATTAAGAAGAATAAGCTCATTATTTTGACACTCTCTTATGCATAAAATTAGCATATGTTAAGTTACAAGTGATGGTATCGCATTAGTGTCTCTAACACTTAACATTGAACTATGACTAAGCAGAGTAAAAACAACAAGAAAAATCTGCTTACAGTCTCCAGTTCCTGTAATAATCCAGTTATTAGGTAATTTAATATGATGTTTTTCACCTAAAATATTCATGCTTAAAGAGTAATTTTTTTTCGGGATTTTAGTTATGTCTTTAGACAAATTCATACATTTCAGTATAGCCGCCATGACGAAAGGATGAAGCCCAGGGACTTATAACGCTAAAATTCGGAGTTCGGTCCTTGTATTGGGCATATAGCCCATAGCGTAGCTTTACGCTTAAAACAAACACACACAATGAATATTCATAATAAATTGATGGTTCGATTTTGATGGTTTACGTTTGTTTAAAGCATTTTATGAAAGGTAATACGTGATGGTTTACGTTTGTTTAAAGCATTTTATGAAAGGTAATACGTGATGGTTTACGTTTGTTTAAAGCATTTTATGAAAGGTAATACTCGTTTGTACCTGTACCTTTTCATACAATTGCAGTGTGAGAAAATAATGGCAGTATTTTAAAAATAAATGCAGATATCTTTACCGTAACGATGTAGCTTTTTATTAATGTTTATTATTGAGGAAAGTTCATGATTGGATGACAAATTGTTTGGATTAAGTTTTCAGCCGTACCAATATTTCGAACGAATCCCACCTTATACGGTTATGCAGGAGATTTTGCGTTTCGGCAATTTTTCAGTGATATGCAGAGATGTAATTGGATTGTAACGCGTGGACACAGCGTATCTGCATTTTTGGTGTTTTTCCACCATATTTAGTAACTTAATTTTTTTTTTGTTCAGTTAATTTCTTTAAATGCTATTGAAGTTGTTTCGTTCTAGTTGCCTTTGTTCTCCATAGCATATAATAGCAGGTTATATATATATATATATATA